ACCCCCACACGGGATCGAGCCCACAACCCAGGCACGTGCCCTGATGGGAAATCGAACTGAGACCTCTTGGTTGATAGGTCAACACTCAACCCCCAAGCATCGGCCGGGCTGTTGGCTTTATCTTTCTAATGGAAAAGAAGAACGTGTGCTTTTTAAGAGTTTTTTTTTAATGTATTGGGTGACGTTGGTTAATAATATTTCATGGCGTGCAGGTGTACAATTCTATACACATCATCTGTATGCTGTACTGTGTCCACCGCCCAGTCAGGTCTCCTTCCATGGCCATTTATCCCTTTATCTTCTTCCACTGCCCATGCCCCTCCCTCTGCTGATCACTGTGCTGTTGTCTGTGTCCATGTTTTGTTTTAACTTATGTAGTGCTCTCTACAAACCACATTCTCATAATCATTAAATGTGTTATTTTTTGTTAATCCTCACCTGAGGATATATTTTTCTTTGTTTCTTTTCTTTTTTTATTTTTTACAAAGAGGAAGAGAGAGGGAGAGAGAGTTGGAAACATTGATGAGAGAGAATCATCAATCAGCTGCCTCCTGCACACCCCTCACTGGGGATGCACCCACAACCAAGGCACATGCCGTTGACTGGAATCGAACCTGGGACCTTTCAGTCTGCAGGCCAACGCTCTATCCACTGAGCCAAACCGGTTCCAGTGAGGATATATTTTTCATTGATTTTTAGAGAGAGTGAAAGGGAGGGAGGGAGAAGTGGAGTAGAGAGAGAAACATTGATGTGAGAGAGACATCATGAATGCACCCTGAATGCACCTGGCCAGGGCTAGGAATTTAACCTGCAACCCTGACGTGCAAGAACCAATGCTCTAACCACAGAGCAACATGGGCCAGTGCTATTAAATTTATTTATTTTTATTTTAAAATATATTTTTATTGATTTCAGAGGTGAAGGGAAAAAGAGAGAGAGATAGAAGCATCAATAATGAGAGAGAATTGTTAATGGCGCCTCTTGCAGGCCCCCATGAGGGATCAAGCCCAGACCAGGGCATGTGTCCTGATCCAGACTCCAACGGTGGCCTCCTGGTCCATAGTTCAATGCTCAGCTGCTGAGCCACGCTGGCCAGGCAAATTCATTTGATGTCCACAGCAGCACAACAGCCCCACCAGGTGGCACTGATGTTACTGGCATTTTAGAAATGAGGAAGCAGATAAGTATGGTACTTCAGTACCTGTTTCCTAAAGATCAGAGACCAGGGGTTAGGGTTAGGGTTAGGCGCTCATAGTTTGTTGCATATCTTTCCAATTTTTTTTTGTACAAAATAGAAATATGTGTGTGTAAACAAACAAATACAAATATGTGCACATTACACAATTACACATGCACTAGGGGCCCATTGCACTGATTCATGTACCTTGAAAGGAACTGTGGGCTTGGAGGCTGCGGTGGGCACAGGGCCGGGTCTCCATGCGGTGAGATCGAGGCCAGAGCCAGCAGCAGGTGGGTGTGGCGGACTCCAGTACCGGCAGTGGGTGTGGGTGCCAGGCGGACTGCGCATGTGGGAGCAAAGACTTTTCAGTAACCACCAGAGGCTCACCCCGATGACAGCGACCAGCCTTGGTCTGGTGTCCTGCTCACCTGCTCCACCATCCCACCATGGCCAGCACTTGCCATGTTCCACACATGCCCCCTGGTGGTCAGCGCATGTCATAGCGACCGGTTGTTCAGTTGTTTTGCTATTCAGTGTATTTGCATATTAGCTTTTATATTTATAGATTGTAGGTTTCATTGTTTATTTTACATCAGGGAGATTGTATTATATGTGTTACATAATCCAGTTTGTCTTTCCGTGTAATCTATGAAGAATTTCCTACACAGATCATACAGAGCTGTCTTATGCAAGGTGTATATTGCATTCCATATGTGGGTGTGCCATCACTTACCTGACCGTCTGCCTTTGCCCAGCAGGTGTTTCATTGCCCTGCTGCACAGACCTCATTGTACATACATGGGGCTTTCTCGTGCCAGAACGCCTTTGGGGTGGGTTCCCAGAAGTGAAATTGCTTTGTCGGTGGATATGCGGTCTTTGATTTTGATGGATGCCTGCACGTTCTCTCCATCTTGTCTCTCTCCTGTCCGCGCGGCTGCTTGTTCTCTCCTGGCTGTAAGACACGCGATTCTCTCAAACCTGTCACGAGGGGTGTCTTGAGTGGGGCAGGTGAGAACTGCCCTCACCACTCTCAACAGGTGCAGAGCAGGTGGCGTCCGCACTCCACGCTTACCCTCCGACTGGCAGGAGAGTCGCTTGTTGGTGTTTCCTGTGAGTCACTGACGCTCACAATGTGGCCAGGAAAGGACCACCGTGGAGCAGCCGCCTCGATGGGAAGGGGTGGGAAAGGGGGGGGGGGGGGCAGCAGCGGCCCAGAGGGGCCGAGCAGGTGCCGGTAGCAGCCGCTCCTTCACTTCACTTGCCCAGCGGGCATCAGCGTTGACCTGACCGTGTAACCGATTGAAAAGCACCATCGTGCTCGTGTGCAGGCCTGGAGGCCACAAACAGGGACTGAACGAAGGCCGGTCTTTGAGGAGCTGGAGCTGGGGCGGACGGCAGGCGTCCTCTCTCAGCCGGTGTCTGAGGCGCGTGTGTGAAGTGACTGCCCAGAAGAGTCAGTGCTTGCCTCCTCAGACAGTGAGGAGCATTTGTGAGCCAACTCTTCCCCTTGTTCACATCGTCAATACCAATATACATGGGAGATTAATTTCACGCTGGGCAAATGAAAGGAAAAGTGCAGAGAAAAGTCACTTCTAGCTGGAGACACTGAAGCTTAATGAGAAATGTGGCCCTGAGTGGCCTGGGAGGCGGGGCGGGCTCCGGGCCCCGCAGTGAGGGAGGGGCAGCGTCTCCGGGAGAGCAGGGCTGAGGCTGGGGCAGGGAAGGCAGGTTTGGAGGCACCTTTCACCTGAACTGCTGGGAGCAGGACTGCGGGAGTCTGAGGTGGGAGGGGAAGGTTCCCTAGCCGTTTCAGAGACATCAGGATTGGGGGGAGCACTCTTAGGAATTTGGGGGAATGTTCCCGGGATTAGGGGATGCTCCCAGGATTGGGGGTGCTCCCAGGAATTTGGGGGGTGCTCCCAGGAGTTTGGGGGGTGCTCTCAGGATTGGGGATGCTCTCAGGAGTTTGGGAGGGTGTTCGCAGGATTGGAGGTGCTCCCAGGATTGGGGTGATTGATGCTCAGCACTCTTGTTCTAAATATGCTGTTACTTCTGAGGAAGTTTTCAATGTTTCTTTTTGCCAGAAGACAAACAATGAGTGTGAGAGCAAAATGAATGGCTTTCTACTATTGTTTTAATTTTCTCATTTCTCTACTTAAAAAGAGAAGTTCAGGGAAGTAAGAAATGTTACCCAAAATGTCAAATTTCAAGAGGGAGCAGAATATTTCTGAGGAGATTCTTTTTTCTCTTTTTAAAAATTTTTTTAAAATTGATTTTTAAAGATAGAGAGGAAGTGAGGAGAAACATCAATGTGTGTGAGAATCATTGATCTGTGGCCTCCTGCACGTTCCCCGCCAAGGATGGAGCCCACAACCTGCCACATGCCCTGACTGGGAATCGAACCTGCAGCCTTGCAGTGCACGGTCGCCCTCCAACCAACTGAGCCATGCCAGGGCTGTGGGGGATCCAGCTCGCAGCAGGCTAGTTAGCACACCGACCCAAGGCGGCCTGTCCTGGGTGGGTGTGGGGCTGGCGTTGGATTGAACCAACGGGGACAAAAAGACATGTTTGCAATGTCGCCGAGGCAAGCTCGGCCCTCCTGTCTGGGTCCCAGGGGAACCCGTGGGGCCTGTTGCGGTAGATTGGCACGTTTTGTAGGAGAAGTTCACTGGTAATGAATTACTTAGCGCAGACCAAATGTCTCCATACACCCAGTCCTTCCCAGGAAAGATGGCTCCTGACTCTGCACGTATGTCCCTGTCCCTGTATGTGCTTCCTACATGGACAGGCGTGACCTGGCAGACTGCACATTATCCTGGTCTCCTGGCACCGAATTGTCGCCGAGAACGCGGTTGCATGTTGCAGACCCAGCCTCTCAGGTGGCGGGAACCCTGTAGCTCAGTGCTGAGAGGGGCGGGGCGCAGGGGGAGTCACGGTGCCTTACGGGATGGCCTGCTGTGGCCACGGAGTTTGCCAGCTGCTGCTGTCCAGCCCATCCTGAGGTCTCCGTGTGGCACAGGGCAGGCCTCTCAGATGTAAAAGCAAGTGTCACGGATGACGGCTGGCTACCAGCAGTGTTCCCTTTAATGAGAACATTCCCCAAAAGGTAACACGAAGCCTCCTAGGGTTCACAAATCTTAAAGGGAACATCCTCTAAACTAAGGACCACACGAAGGTAACTCTAGGCTACAAGATGCAACACAGGATGGTGACAAATTCGTAAAATGGGCGTAAGTCAGATTTTGAGCGAATGTCGCAACAGGTAACATGGTTTTTGGTCTGTGGGCGTGCCAGTGCTCACGCACTCCCGGGTCAATAAGTCCCACCTGCCGGAGCAGCAGGCGAGCTCAGAAGGAGTCACTGACGGGAACGCAGCAGAACTGCAGCGATGCGGAGATCCTGGGCGCAGGGGCGAGCGCCACAGGGCGGGCTTTCCAGGAGCGACTGCGGGCGGGCCACTCTGCTCCTTCCTCCGCCGCCCGTCCACAGGAGACGTCTTGCTGTGCGACTGTGGGACCCTCCTGAGCCAAAGCCACTCCCCAAGGCTTTCCTGTGTGTGTGTGTGTGTGTGTGTGTGTGTGTGTGTGTGTGTGTGTGAGAGAGAGAGAGGGAGGGAGGGCGGGAGTCCCATGCCCTCCCAGGTGCGGAGACGCCCCTCCAGATGAAAGCTGCTGGCTCATAGCCCGGGGCCTGTCCTGCCTCGGTCCCGGCTTCGCCGCGGGACAGCTCGGGCCTCCACCCTCCCCAGGGAGCGCGCCCGGCGTCCCCAGTGGGTGCGTCTGGCCGGGGGGGCGTCCCGACACTGTGCCTCCTCCTCCAGGTGCGGCTACATGATCGACAACGTGGTCCTGCTGCTGGGCGGGGCGCTGCAGAAGAAGTCCGTGCGGGACCTGCTGGGCCGGTGCCACCCGCTGGGCCGCTTCTCGGAGATGGAGGCCGTCAACATCGCCGAGACGCCCTCCGACCTCTTCCACGCCATCCTGGTGGAGACGCCCTTAGGTACCAGCGTGGGTGTGGGCTCGTCCCGTGTGCGGTCACTGTCCCGGGCTCCAGAGAGCACAGCGCAGTGGGGAGGTTGCTGGGAGTGGGGGGACCAGCCCAGCCCGCCTGCCCAGCTCAGACAGGGAGCACTGCGGGCACCTCGCGCCCGCACCCGGAGGGAGCACTCATCTCCAACGCCCCGCCCCCGCATGTGCATGACGGCTGTCCTGGTCACGCCGCCCCTTCCCCGGGCGCCATTCCTTCGCCGTCATCGCCGTCTGCATGGCGCACGCATGGCTGTGAGGAAGTCTGCGCAGTAGCTATGCCCTTTGGTCATTTGTCCAAATACTCGCCACTTTGGACAAAAGCTTTAGAGAAAAATAAATGTGTCATCAAGTGCCTGGTGCTATGGTGCAGGTCCCAGGAGGGCACTGACACCGTGAGCGTGATGCAGGCTCAGCCTGTCCACCGGGCCCGGGCAGTTCGGTTCCCCTCCAGGCCCCACTGCAGAGTTTTAAAAATGAAATTGGACATAAATAAGCACAACTCCGTGCTCGGCACAAAGCGAGGGCATCAGAGTAAGTATTAGCATTGGTGGCAGGAGCCTGCGGACGTGAGCCCAGACATGGGTACTGCCGGGCACTGGCTGTCAGTGAGCCGGTGCCGCGCAGGCCTCGCCATAAATGCTTACGGAGTGGTCCCGGCCGGTGCCCCGTGGCAGTCGGTGCCCGGTGGCGGTCGGTGCTCTGTGGCGGTCGTTGTGACGCATCCTGGGATTCAAACCCGGGTCCCCCTGGTGAGCACAGGCAGTGTGTGCAGGCAACACTCTGTCCGCCTGCAGTCCTGCTCGTCACTAACTCATCCTGTGACGCTTCTGTTCCCAGCACCGTTCTTCCAGGACTGCATGTCTGAAAACACCCTCGATGAGCTGAACATCGAAGTTCTGCGCAACAAGCTGTACAAGGTAACCGCTGTCTCTGTGGCACAGTCCTGCCCGGGCTCTGTGAGACGCGATGCCCCGCCCTGTCACGGCGGGCCAGGCCGGTGTGGAGCACGTGTGTCCGCCTCCAGGCAGGAGGCAGCTGAGGGAGGTCAGCCCTCGCTTTGTCCCCAGGCCTGGCCGGAGCATAAAGTGGCAAAGGGCAGGCGGCCCAGAGACAAGTAGCATTTACAGGCACCTCTATCAGCAGAGCTCGCTCTGTCCTCCGTTCTGTGTGAGTCCCAATGCCCGTTACCTGTCCACACGATTGTACTCTCCTGGCTGTGGGCAGCGTACCGAGATGACCGCTGACAGGGTGGCCTAAGTGCTGCTCACATCATCTGCCTCTGCCTGGACGGTGCTGCCCCCTCCAGGTCTCTGTGTAACGGGCGCTGAGTCACCTGTTCTGGGACCTGGACAACCACAGCGCCTTCGGACCTTCTCCCAGAGCAGCTGAATGACCGCAGGCGCCACCCTCTGGGCCGCATGCCCTGCTGCACCGCAGGGTCTTCCCCAAGCACTGCAGCCAGGCATCGCCCTGGCTGTGAATATGGGCTACAGGGCCCCTGATGCAGCCAGCGGGAGGCATGTCCCAGCAATGCGGAGGCTAACCCACTCACCGGCTGGTGCTCTCCCCAGACAGGCCAGGAGGCGTGGGGCGAGCGGGGGAGGCAGTTCCTGGTGCGTGCAGTGGCACTCTGCAGCCAGCCTGCCCTCCCTGCCCCGGTGCTCAGAGCTCCGTGCACCTCCCAAGAGGGGGCGTCAGCACAGGACAAAGCGGGTCTCTCTGGGGCTGGTGAAAGGGCTGGCACGCTCGGTAGAGGAGCCAGAACAGCCGAGTGAGGCCACAGAGATGCACGCGGAAAAGGGAGCTACGGGGTACGAGGCGAGGTGAGGGCAGCTGTGCTTCCGGCAGCTCCTGCTGCAGACCGTGGCACGGCGCTGGCGAAGGGGCAGCCCATAAACGCCGCTCTAGCTTCTCCACAAGGCCGTGTGGCCACCGTCGTTTGACGGTCTCTTTTCCAGTCGTACCTGCAGGCGTTCTACAACTTCTGTAAGGATCACGGTGACGTCACCGCGGGAGTCATGTGCCCCATCCTTGAGGTGAGAAAGCGTGCTTGAAGCGTTCATGCCAAATGTGTGTTTCCATGTGTTTCATTCCTGTCATGGCCGGATGCTGCTTCATCGCGGAAGCTCCTTTATCTAAAGTGAAACGAGCGACGCCTTTTACTCTCTGTATGCCATCAGTGTCTTCCGTTAGCAATGGTGTTTTCTGGCCTGGCTGGGTGGCTACATAGGTTGAGGGTTCGATTCCGGGACAGGGCACATACCTAGATTGAGGGTTCTATTCCTGCTCGGGGCATATAAGGAAAGCAACCGATTGATATCTCTCTCTCTCTCTCTCTCTCTCTCTCTCTCTCTCTCTCTCTCTCTCCCCCTCTGTTTCCCTGCCCCTAAATCATATCCTTGGGTGAGGATTAAAAAAAAAAGTGATTTCCCAAGTTTCCTACATTGAAGAGTTGTTTTAGACTTAGGAAAGAATAACACTTATAAAAATGTGATCATGCTTGCTGTATAATATGAAGAAAGATCGCAGTTAGAGAAAAATTTAGTAAACTATGGCAATTACACGCCATAGGACTCAGAAGGACCCAGACTCCTCCAGTGAGGGACACAGGCGCGGGGCCCCGGGGAGCGTCCTGTGGAAGCTGCTCCTGCGCCCGCGCTTTGTGGAGCTGAGGCCTGCCCCTCCCGGGCGCCCTGAGGGCACGAACCTGCAGGCTCCTCCCCAGGCTGGGCCCTGGTTGGGGCTCCTGCAGGAGGCAACCAATCGATGTGTTTCACTCACACGGATGTTTCTCTGTCTTTCCCCCTTTCTTCGGCTTTTCCTAAAAAAATCAATGGAAAAATATCCTCAGGAGAGGATTAACAAAGCAAAACAAAACAAAAAGAAGCAGCAAAACAAAATAATAACCAAAAAACAAAATAATAACCCACCCAAACCACGGGCACTACAGCATTTCCTGGTGTGAAGAGCCGGGCCCACACAGGGGGGCTTGGCGGGCAGCGCGCACTTTCCCTTCCCAGCGCCGCTAGGCCTTCTCTGGCCGTCCGTTCTGCCCCGGCACCCACCGCCGGCACAGGCTCCCTGCGGCTTCCAGGGGGAGGCGCTGCGGCTGCTGGCCCCTGTCCCGCACCTGCCGGAGCACATGGGGTGTGGGGCAGGGCTAGGCCCTGGGGTGGGGCCCGGGCAGCTGCTCGGTGGTGAGCGGGGTCACAGCCTGGCCTGTGACCTCAGAGGCAGAGCCCACAGGGACCCAGTGGCCGGAAACGTGGCCCGGGCTCTGTCTCAGCCCCGGCAGGGCGGCTCTCACGCTCTCTCTCCTGCAAACGCAGTTTGAGGCTGACAGGCGAGCCTTCATCATCACCCTCAACTCCTTCGGCACCGAGCTGAGCAGAGAGGCCCGGGAGGCCCTCTACCCGACCTGCGGCCGGCTCGGCCCCGAGGGCCTGCGCCTGCTGGCCCAGGCGCAGGACTTCGAGCAGATGAAGAGGGTGGCGGACCACTACGAGGTGCGTACATGCCGGTCCCCGCTGTCACGCAGGCCCTGGGCATGCACCCTGCCTCCGGTGCTCCCGCCCTGCCCCTGTTCCTGCCCTGCCCCTGCTCCCGCCCTCCAGTGCTCCCTCCCTGCCCCTGCTCCCTCCCTGCTCCTGCTCCCGCCCTGTCCCTGCTCCCGCCCTGCCCCTGCTCCCTCCCTGCCCCTGCTCCCGCCCTGCCCCTGCTCCCGCCCTGCCCCTGCTCCCTCCCTGCCCCTGCTCCCGCCCTGCCCCTGCTCCCACCCTGCCCCTGCTCCCTCCCTCCAGTGCTCCCTCCCTGCCCCTGCTCCCTCCCTCCAGTGCTCCCTCCCTGCCCCTGCTCCCACCCTGCCCCTGCTCCCGCCCTGCCCCTGCTCCCTCCCTTCCCCTGCTCCTTCCCTGCCCCTGCTCCCACCCTGCCCCTGCTCCCGCCCTGCCCCTGCTCCCTCCCTGCCCCTGCTCCCTCCCTGCCCCTGCTCCCTCCCTGCCCCTGCTCCCGCCCTGCCCCTGCTCCCTCCCTGCCCCTGCTCCCTCCCTGCCCCTGCTCCCTCCCTGTGGGTGCTCCCCCCGGGGCTGTGAAGAGCACAGGGACTCTGTGGCCTTGGGAAGCACAGTTCTCAGGGGCGGAGGAGACCATTCCCCTGGGCGGGCACCTGAGCTCACGTCAGAGCAGGTGGAAGAGCCGACTGGAGGCCCTTTGAGCGGCCGTGGGTGAGCAGGTGAGGGCAGTGAGGGCAGTGGCCCCTGGCTGTGAGCCTGGCTCCGGGGGCAAGAGGGACCCTCCCTTCCCCCCCCCCCCCCCAGCCTCTCTGCAGCTCAGGCCTCCTCCGCCAGCCGCGCCTCTCCTCTGGAGCTGAGACCTGCCCCTCTCCGGGCGCCCTGAGGCCTCTGGGGACCCGGAGGCCAGGCTGTGCAGGCTGCACCCCTGTCCCCGGCCTGTGCCCCACCCGCACTCGCAGTCCCCGGGGGTTTGGTCAGCTGTTGTCTCTAAGGTGGCACATGCCTAAGGTGGCCAGACATCCCACTTTTGGCGGGACAGTCCCGATTTTTAACAATTTGTCCGATTCCCACGGTGTTTTAAAAAGTCCTGATTTTTGGAAAGATTCTTTTAAAAAATTGGGACTTTTCAAAAAATTGAGACTTTTTAAAAACGCAGCGGGACAGGAGACAAATTGTTAAAAATGGGACTGCCCCGCCAGCGAAAGCGGGATGTCTGGCCACCTTACACAGGCCCTCGCCCTAGAGGGGCGCTGAGCTGGGAACGAGCTCCTAGGCCGGGCCTGTGGGTCTGCGCCCTCCTGCGCCTGCTTCCACCGCTGTCACCCTGGGAAATGTGACACTTCCGGGGGCAGAGAGTTATAGAGCACGTCCTCTGGGACGAGCTTTGTAAACAAATAAACAAATGCAGCTTCTGTATCGCCAGGGGCCACACGTGATAAGAAATGAGGATTTGTTACCAATCTGTCCGCTCCGTCCCTCAGGTGTACAAGCCGCTGCTGGAGGCTGTGGGTGAGGGCAGCGCGGGGAAGTCGCTGGAGGACGTGTTTTACGAGCAGGAGGTAGGCCGCTCCTCCTGCTGGGCCTGAGCCTCTGCTCACGGGTTCGCAGGGCAGCCAGCGCTGGGCCCGGGACGGACGGGGTGGGGGTGGGGGGGAGACCGAGGGCGGAACGGCCCGGCTCCCGCCATCAGCCTGCCTGTGGGCGGGCAGCCCCGCGCCCTCCCGGTTGTCCAGGGGAGGACGCAGCGGGGCTCACTGTAACGGTGGGAACTGTTCCTGCGAATGGCATGGGGGCCTCGTCGTGGTTCCCTGGACAGGCAGAAAGGCCCCTCTCCCTCCAGGCCCTGTCGGGTGCTGAGGCCCCACAGGGGACTGTGTTCGTTCTGTTTGACCTTTGACACCGGCAGCGGCCCCTAATCTAAGCCGTCCTCCCAGTGCGGCCGGTCACTCCCCAAGCCGCCGCCTCCCGCTGCAATGGCGGGAGCCACGGGGAGCCGCAGCGGGCAGCGGCCCCTCCTCCTGCCGTGGGTCAGAGTGCGGAACTCTCCCGTTTCCGACCGCCCCAGTCCAAAGTATTTTCTTGAAATTTTTATTTTATATCCCTTCCACAGAGAAAAACCCAAACAATTGCCCTGTAAATCAGGTTGCTGCAGAGCATTCTAGAAAAGCTCATGAGAGCTGAGTCTGGAGACCAGGGCCGGACACGGCCCTGGCGGGAGTCAGGCAGCTACACCTTCCCAAGCCTGTAAGGCCGTGGCCACAGCGAGCCTTTCCCTGAACCAGACAAGCCCACACGCTGGGCGCCAAGTGAATATGGCTCCACCACCACACACAGCCACCCAGACACGCACACACAGACACGCACACACAGACACGCGCACACACACACACACACACAGACATGTATACACAACGACATACACACACACAGAGACACGCACAGGCACACACACACGCATAGACATGCACATAGACATACACATGGACACACACATAGACACACAGAGACACACATGTACAGCCACATACACATGCACACGGGCACACAGGCATACACACACACGCACACACACAGTCCTAAGAGCCTGCTCAGAGTGACGGTGAGATTGGGAGAGAGCCCTGTGGCTCAGGCACAGCGTCTGGCTCCTCCGCGGGGCGGGGGGCGGGGCGGGGGGCGGGGCGGTGGCCGCGCGGCTGACGGTGCTCCCCGCTCAGGTGAAGCTGAACCTGCTGGCGTTCTCCAGGCAGTTCCACTGCGGCGTCTTCTATGCCTACACAAAGCTGCGGGAGCAGGAGATGAGGAATGTCGTGTGGATAGCCGAGTGCATCTCCCAAAGGCATCGCACCAAGATCAACAGCTACATCCCCATCCTGTGACCGCGGGCAGAGAGCTGAGTGGGAAGGGACGCTACTGAGCAGAACGAAAGGGGGCTTTCGGTTATCACAGAAGGAAGCCGCGGCCCGGCTTACCCGCAGACTCCCCTTGTCTCCACGTTTATGTCTCTTCCCGGCCTCGGCCATGCGTTTTCACCAACCCTTGGGGACTGTCCCTACTCTGAGTTTGTGTGTTGAAACCAAATCTAATAAAAGTGTTTGACTCCTGCTCCTCATACTTCTCCACGGGCCCAAAGACTGGCGGTCTGTTTCACTGTTTCTTCCTCACCTGAGGAAATGTTTTTCCTTGATTCTAGAGAGAGGAAGAGGAAAAAAAACATTCTGCATGCACCCCAAATGGGGAATCAAACACCCAACCTGGGTATGTGCCCGACCTGGAATCGGGCCCATGAGCTCTAACCACTGAGCAGTCACCCAGGGCCTGTTTTATTCTTTAACTTCCGTTCCTTCCGTCATCCGAAAACCCCCGAGCCGTGCGGTGGGAAGGCTCCTGTCGGGGCACTCAGTCAGGTGGGCCCGGGAGCCACGCTCAGCACAGACGTCCCACAGCGGGGAGGGTCCGTTTGTCACAGGCTGCGGTGTGCAAACACGAGACACAGCTCTTAGGGCTCCTTCATGCTTTGCACTAAGCTGGATTTTACACATTACCCAGCAGAAACCACAGGGTCTATCGCAGCCTCTGGATTCTCTATAAACCTTCACTGAATCAGTGCCCAGAGCCAACCAGAGGAAGACAAGCAGCCCACACCTGCTCAAGGCCTTTCTTTCCAGCACAGGAACCCGTGCTGCGGTAGTGGGGGCGGGGCGGGCGAGAGGAACTTTGCCCGACCTCAGGTCCCGGCTGGCCTAGCAATCACACAGACAGGAGACCATGACCAGGCTAACTCGGCTGTGTGGGGACCCTGCATGCGAGGGGGCCAGGCTCAGGGGGTGGGTTCTGAAGCCCTGCGCTGGGGATGAGGTCAGCATCCTGTCAGACGACGAGCAGAAGGGCAGTGAATAGCGCTGCCCCACCAGATCGGTGAGGCAATTCCAGATTCCACATTCCTGCTGAGAACCTGCTATGGGCAAGGCCCCTGATTCAGTTCCAGGTCAAGGGTGGGGATCGTCCGGCCCACGGGCTGTAGAAGGCCTAGACATCATCTGGCCTGGCCCTGCCGAGGCATTGGGGTGAGCTGGTTAAACGTCTGACCACTTGTGCCAAAACCGGTTTGACTGAAAGGTCCTGGGTTTGATTCCGGTCAAGGGCATGTACCTTGGTTGGGGATACATCCCCAGCAGGGGGTGTGCAAGAAGCAGCTGATCGATGGTTCTCTCTCATCGATGTTTCTAACTCTATCCTTCTCTCTTCCTCTCTGTAAAATATCAATAAAAAATATATATTTTAGAAATGTTTGACCACTTGTTAAGCTGATGACTTTGTATGGCCCGTGATGATGGGATAAATTCGCAAATGGCCCTGGGCAGAGAACAGTTCCCCGCCTGCGTTAGGGACTGAAAGGGAGGGCAGAGTTTCTCTTGGCCCTGAAGCTAAAATTGCCTTTAGCTCAAATCAAACGCAGAGCACATCCTGGGGTCTGGTTCTGAACCCCCACCAGAGGCTGCTGTAGCAGTGCTCACCACCCACCACTGAAAAGGCCTGCCGGTAGGGTCAGAAGCACAGGCAGGTGGACACGGGAAGATTACAGACACTGTCTGCTTTGTGTTAGAGTCAGGAGGAAACGAAATTCTCCATGTTGGGTTCATCTCGTTCATTCTGAGTCATTTTCACTCCAGCAAATGGGAGCGTCTTCTTCCGGGTGCTGAGCACAGCGGTGAGGGACACAGCGTGCCGGACAAGTGCTCCCGCCCCTGTCTCCCAGCACCGAGGCCCGAGGCTGGGGCTCGGCGGCCATGTGGCTGTCAGGGCACAGACCTGGTAAATATGGAAGTGGGTGCAGAAGCCACAGCCCAGCCCCTGCCCTCAGCAGCTTCCTGGTTACATCTTTACTCCGTCTCCTCCACGGCCCCTGGCCTCTGCTGCAGCCTCCCACCCCTTCCTCTGGCCGCTCGCTTACACACTGTCAGAGCAGAAGCACTGCCCGCTTTGTTCAGGCGGTTAGCATGTGCTAGCACGCACAGGGCACCGGGCACCGGCCACATCAGGTCCCCGCAGGCAGCCCGCTCCCTCCGGCCCCTTCCAGATTCTAGTCTGGAGCAGCTCCCTTGGGGCCCCACCCACCCACGCCCTCTCTCTATGGGGACATTTTCCCCTGGATCTCCACGCGGCTGGCGCCTTCCTGCAGGTTTTGATGCCGAGTTGCCTTCTGCACCGGGCACCTGTCCCACCTCGGGTCTGTGCACAGCGATCTCGCATACTCACCTTCTCACAGAGGTCCTCCAGCTTAGGGGCACCTCGTACTGGCCTCTGTAGGACACCCTGCTCTTCACCTCACAGTTCTTACCGAGTTTGTACCATCTGTTTGCTTGGTAATGTCGGTTTTCCCCTCCAACCGAGCGCTCTCTCTACAAGCCTGAGATGTATTCCCGGATCACGCTGTCTGTCCGTCTGGCACAGGCCTGGCGCTCGGCAGCACTGAATAAATGTCTGCCTAGTGAATGAGGGCAAATCCCCTGCCGGAGGGCTCTGTGACTCAAACCATAGAACCACTAAAAGAGAAACTTGGAATTTTTAAGAGTTTATTTAAGCAAAAATCTATTCCAATCAGACAGATCCAACAGGAAGTGGTTAGAAGTGTCCGGACAGGAGCCGGGAGGAGTTTCTAGAGAAGAGGCGGACGCAAATGAGGACAGTGTCTGACCGGCTGTCCTTAGCAGCCGTCTGATTGGAGAGCCCAGGCGGCTGCGGGTGCGGCTGCTGTTGAGCTCGGGTTCCTGACCCCAAGACACCACAGGCCTGGCCTGGTTCCTGACGCGGCCGTCTGAGGCCTGGGAGGCGCTGCGGTCCGAGGCTCCTCCTCAGCTTGCTGCACGGAAGGAAAGGCCACGACGGGCTCGGCAGGGACCTACCACCTCCTCCGGGGCACAGACACCTCCGTGCCAGGAAGGCAGGAAAGGCTGCTGCCCCTCTCTCCATGGAAACAGGACTCCTGAAGGCAAGCGCTGAGTCCCGGCTCCTCATCTCCGGTCCCACAGCATCAGGACATTGCGGCAATCACCACACTTGTGGAACAAATAGGCCCAGATACCGCATGGCCACCCCCGGCGCCTGGGGACCGAAGGCAGAGCGTGAGGCCAGCTTCCACCCCAGGAGCAGGACAACAGGGGGCCTGCACAGCGGATAACCGAGTGATGACTTACCTATCTGCCTGCTGTCCAACACTGGCCGCTCCTGGAACTCCCAGGAGGCAGACTACAGCAAGGGCCGGCTCTTTCCTTTGTTTGCGGAGTTTATTAAAGGGGAAAAGGCCGCGGAACCATTGAGGCCGATAACTCTGCTGTGTGTGCACTGTCTGTTCCTCAACTAGTGGCTTTCTCTCTCCTTCTAAGCCTGTTCAAGGTGCAGAGACAAAAGCAGGAGCGTAGAGTATTCGATTTCGGCAATGAAAACTAATGAGTGTGCTAAGAGGGGGGAAATAAAATCATCTTTAGAAAAAAGGAGATAAAAATAATCTCAAAGAATTGCAAATGACACCCAAAGTCCCCGCCATCGTCAAAATCAGTTTCGGTCTGCCCACCAGGCCCGCCGGCCCATGCACACGCCACGCGCCCCATCAACCGCAGAAGGACACGCAGGACGGTCCCTGAGCTGGAGGTGGTCTCGGATCGGGTGAAGTAATCGTTTGGGGGTCACACTCAGTGCACACTCGCTGTGGGTGCTGTTGGTGTTAGGGAGCACGTAGACATCTTTTCAAAACACCCTTCTTGACTTAAACATGGAACTCTCGGGGGCTACGGGGAGCCGTCCGAACCAGTGCTCTCAGGCTCGGGTCAACATTGAGCCACACAGACTAGGCGCCAGCGGTGCCTGGAGTGGTATGAAACCTCTGGTTCTGAGAGCCTTGCTGAAGAAGGCCGGCACCCGCTCACCGGGGATGCGGTGTGTTCCCCGCCCCCAAACAACGCATCTGCCAACGTTTCCCAAACGCATCGCTCCAGCCAAAGCCACAGCGCACACGCCCGCCCAGCCGGCCAGCAGCCCCAGTCCTCACAGGAACCTCAGGAAGACACCAGCACGGGCCGGGCGAAGGCAGCCCGGGAGGCGAGGCTCCTCTGCTGCTCCGGCGTCCGTGCTGCGGACCCGTCACAGGCGTGGAGAAGCACGTCGGGCTTCCTCCAAGGCGTGCTCTGCTTTGCTAGCATGTGGGAGCCCAGGCTTAAAAAGTCCGCGTTGAGTGACCTCAGAGGTGAGCTTTCTCCCCTCTCCCCCTCCAGCTGACAGGCAGGCTCTGCCCCCATGGCATCTCCCTGCCACCTCCGACGGCCCGGTCTCCCGTCAGATCCTCTGCTGTGCTGGCGGGCTCACAGATGGAGACCTCACAGCTGAGCCCTTCCAATCAGGTTGGTTGCCCAGCGAGCACACACTGGGCTCGAAGGAGCCGTGGTTAAGGCAGAGGAGCCTTTCTGGGAAGACATGAGTGCCAGGACTTGGAATCAACGTCCGTAATGCCCAGAGCTTTGTGGACTTTGACAAGTCACTGAACTTCTCCTATCCCCTCCTGTGAGAGTGGATAACTATATCTTCTCTTAGGATCGCCACAGGCTTTAGATGAAGTAATAGCTGAACTGCTCAGTAGGCAGCCTGCACAAAGGGAGCTGGTCCATGAGCCGCTCACACCTCCCCCGGGACTGTGCGCGAGACCATGTAGCGGCGTCTCCGTCACCACCGGGAGCGCAGACCGTCTCTTACTTGCCTTTGTTTCTCCGCTCGTTCAGAACACAGTGTTTGCTCAAAAGAAATCACTCGTGCTTCCAGATAAAATGAAACGTATGCTACTGGACACTGACATACAAAGATAGATGACCAAAATAACTGCTTTATT